GCTTATTTTTTTCTGGAGATTTGGGCAACTACAGTAGAGACTCTAGAGCCACTTATTTTCTCCCTAAATCAAAAGGAAAAAGTGAAATAGATGTTTTGATGCTGATCACATTTTACAAGTGTACAGTTCTAGCAAGCATGATGTATCTTTTTTCAAAACAAAAAAATACTCCAGGTTTCATAGTTGACTAGTACAAGCAGAAATTGAAAGGTAATTAACAGAAAAGCCATGAGCCATATAGAAAAGAATTAAGGGATAAATATCTATTTAAGTGTCTATTGAACACCTTTTCATKATTTAGAAGCACTAAAGAAGGTATAAGAGACGTTTTGATTAAAAAAATTCCATTGAAATTTTTACCAAATATTACCTGTGAGCTGATTTTGCAGATTTTTTGTTGCATTAAGCAGAGCCTTCAGCAAGTGGTTTATTTAAATTTAGAGCTCTTTTACAGAAAAACTAAGCTGACAGTCAGGATAACAGAATCAGGCCCTGTAGTTTGTGCCTGTAGAGTTCAGCTGTTTCATCTCATGGCATTTTATGAAATTAATCATAAAGGTTTCTTGTTGAAGACATTATTAGCTTGAGTACTATTAACAGCATTGGAGTACAAGCTGATTTTTTTTCTAGGATGTCATGCTTACTAGAGTTGTTTTAAATAACTTTTTCAGATTCATTATACTTATTTCAAAAACATGTTATTGAAACAATTTGTCCCATGTCAATATTTAGGAAAACCCCCAGGATTATAGCAGTTGCAGAAGCAAATATCTAGTCTGCAGAGCTCCATTCTTAGAAATATAGGGAGAATTTTGCATATTATAGCTAAGCTACATGTTTAAAATAACCTTGGTAAATTAAAGAGCAATTACTTAGTTTGTCATTGTTTATCTTAAAAGTATCACCRTCTTGCAAAAAGGAAAAAGAACTTGTGGGACAGGACTTTACACACAGACTTTTTGGAGGACTGTTGTTATGAATATCACCTAAGCTCAATGGATAATCAATTAGATCTATGCTTTCTTTGCAGCTCTTTCCAAACACTTTTTTCTCCGAGCCCCGCCATTCTACTCAACATGCTGCGGTGGGTCCTGTCAGCACCCTGCATCCCCCACTGCTTTTCCGCGTAAGTTTTTATGCTTCATCAGTAATGCTTGAGTTATTCTGTAAACCAAAGCAGCAGGATTTAATGTGTTCTGGAAAACTAATTGGTGATGCAATGGCAGCAGCTAATTCCTTAGTAAAATCACAGCAATCCTATTCAGAGGGTTTCCAAAGATTTATCAAACTTAAGTACACTGAGCAATTGTGAGAGGTTTCTAATGGCATTGAGACACCCAGACAGAGCTAACCTACGAAAGTGCCTTGTTTTCAGTTTGCTAGAAACAGTTCTTTAAAATCAGTAACTCTTTTAAAAATCAGTGTCAATAAACATTTGCAAATAAGAAAAGAGCTGAAGGATYGTAATATGTGTGCTGCATTTTAATGTTTGCTAGGGGTAAATTATGATTCAGGAAGCCTTAGCATTATTCAAATGCAACAATCATTCTTTTTGCAGCAGTCAAATGTGTGCACATGTTTAATTTGTTTCTCTTTTTTAATAATGTTGTAAAAAATTGARGAAGTTGGTTGAAGTGAATTTTGACCAATATACACTAGCTGTTCAGGAATAAGAACTGGAACATATTTCCATTTAATCCAAAACTATATTTAACCTTGATTGGGAAGATTGCATCCCATAGTGTAAGAATGGGGTCATGGTTTTATGTGTTTATGGGTCAGGAATGCAAACAGAAGGAGTATTTCCTTTTTCTTCAAAACAGAAAAAAGCACAAATCACGTGTCAAATCCAAGYGAAAATTGAAGCTTATACATGCTCTTGCATATATGTTTTTATCTCAGTTGCATTCAAGCCACTCCTGACTAAGTGCATGCTTTTTATGAATGTTTCAGAAGGGCAGTTGCTAAGTTGAATGATTCTTGACAAGTGAGGCAGCAAATGCTGGCAGTTTAATGAGCTGCAAGTTTCTGAGCATCTCTTTAGGGGGCTGACACTTTCCCACAGAGCGTTTTACATGGCCTAGGCTCTCCCACAATGGCTGACAGCACCATGACCAATCACCACTTTCACTTTACTCATCCACACGCGACCTCACCACAATTTTTCACTGTGCAGATGAACTTTAGGAACCATTTCACATTGAAAAGGCCTGGGCAAGGGTCAGTTGCCCTTTTGTATGGCCATAAAGCAATACTCTATGTGCCAGTCTTTTCTCCTGTCTCACATTCCAAGAGATTTTCTGGACACCATTTAAAGCACTTGACTGAAAAATAAAGCAGTGAATGAAACTGACTTTTATAGACTCATTCTAGCTCATCTTCCCATATAACCCTGTCTACCTGAAAAGGGATTTAGTGGATGAGCTGAGTGTATACAGGGACTTGCTGAATACATAGGCCTATTATCAACTGTGGGGATTGTTTATTAACCAGGACTGATACACTACTATTTTGGAAGTGACCTATTAATTGTCCATTTAACTAGAATGTATTGAACTCTAATGAAAAAATGGAAACCATGACTAAAGCTTTTACTTGCTCCTTCAAGGTGGTCTCTGCCATGAAGGCAAAAGAAGATTGTTCCATAGATTAAGAAGACATTTATCACTATATATTAGGATRCAAAGGAAAGACTTAAAAAAACCTAAAGAAAAACAAAAATCAAACCAGCAACATAGGAAATAGTTGGTCACGTTTATGTCAGCAGAACACTAAACCTTTTAATGGACGTTTAAAGTGACAAGCTGCAGACTGACATATATAATTTTGCTGGAATTGTTGAAGTGACTGCCTATCCTGCTGTACTGAAAAATCCATAATCCACAAATTGAAATTTAGTTTTTGTGTACAGTTGGAGTGCATTTTAGAATATGGCTTATTTTTAAAGAAATTGTCGAGGTTACTCTGATGGGGGTAGGTTTTAGAATTTTGGGGACAGTGGCTGTTTGCTAATGCTTCTGAGAATTCTGCTCATGATTAAATTTTATTTAGTCAATCTTTTAAAATCCATCACATATGTTACCTTAGAGTGTGTAGATGCTTCACTATTAAGTTAGTCTAAAACAGGTGTTAAGCTGTACCCTGCATACTGCCTGAACAGGAATTAATTGGTGCCTTGAGKCTTCAGCAGGAGGTTGTTTCCTTGCTGATTGACTGTTAACAACCAGCCAGGCAAGACAAATTTTAAGGGGTCACATAATCTGGCCGTCCTCTGTCCTTGGCTGACAACTCCATTGTGGAATGGAGGCTGGGAGGCAAGGACCAGCCCTGTTAACGCCTCTTCCCTTGCTGGTGTCTCTCATTGCAGTGGGGATGAGAGGACGTACCAGTTCTTCTGCTGCCATTCTGTACCTTCCAGTAAACCTCAGAATGGCTGACAATTCAGCAGAAACTACTCAGAGGCTACCTGGAAAAAGATACCTAAATTCACTAAGTTTGAGCCAGAAAGAGCAAAAACATGCTTGAGAAGGAAGGCCCCAGCTTGCCTGCAGTTTTGGGGCATGATTGGAGCATGCAGTTGGAGTTATGAAGGGGCTCTGCACTCCCAGAGAAATACCAGCTTGGCTTGCCCTTTGTGGAAACCTCCATTGTGGCATTTTGACTTTTGTTCCGCAGATTGTTTATTTTGATTTGGATGAAGTCTGACTGTGTATCACAGTGTAATAAATATCAGGACATTAACCAGGGTATGATTTTTGTATCTGGTCTTTGATATAATTTTGAAGATTGAAATACATCCATATAAATTAAGGATTATTTATACTGTAATACTGTAAATCATAATAATTATTTTTTGCTGCAGGCTGTTATGAGAGACAAGTATAAAGATCTTGATTTCCTGACATGTAGAAAAGTTTAACAAAAGAACTGACAGAATGCAATCATCTCTCTGTTTCACAGAGGCAGTGTTATTTTAGGGAATAATCATTGTACACTTGCTCAGCTTCCGATACTCTACTGGTCAGAGCTGGAAGCAAGATGCAGGGGTAGGKTATGTAATATCAAACCAGTAACAAATGACTACAGAAATATTTAGTCAACTTTGCATGACATACACATATACACTTCGGTTTCTCATCATTATACTACAATATCCTCAGTATATGCGTGTTTGTTTTTCTGTGCATGTTTAAAGATACATATACCCATGTGTATATATGTATAATATACAGAAGTTGAAATGTCGTGTAGCCCCAAGGAACAGTTTGTGAAAGCTGCATCTGGATTTCATTAATATTTCCAAGAGCACTATATCAGTTGAATGAATGTATTTAGTTTCCCCCACCCCATTACAGCTGACTAGAATAGATAGACTTTTTCCCAAAAAAATATTCAGTATTGAAGAATCTGCTTTTCAGGGGGAATTTTCCATTGGCTTCAATGTAAAAATGATCAGATTCTTGGTGGAATTGAGCTGCAACACACCTTTGCAGCTGCTGTAACTATAAGCCAGAAGGGCAATTTCTGCCCATGGACATGAGAACATGGACGACAGGAGGGCAACTTCTGAATTGCCATTTGTGCAGAAAGATTGTAGGTGTCAGTGGCTGTTTAGCCATGACACAGGTTTCTGAACTGAAGTGCAGCTGTTTCCTGGCCTGCYTTCATCTGCCCCAATTATCACATGCTGTGCTTATGATGGGCCCTATTCAAGTGGCCTCTGCTCCCTGAGTATTTGAGGAAGCTGGCATGAAGCCTCACGATGTRTGGTTGTCATATGCCATGTCCTTCTAGAGGAGAGGGAGCCCTATAGCTTTAGGTTTTATTTGGTGTGAGGAGCATGAGAGATTTACCTTGGTGTTTCTGTGCTCTGTGTGAACACTTCTGCTTCTCCACTGCAGCTCTGTCYCCCAGCTTTGAGGCTGTTTTCCAGGGTAGGGCTCCCTCTAGGCATGCATCAAAGGGATGTGATTGGATTCATTGAAAACTGCCCTCCCAGGACTTGCTATGAGATGTCAAAGGATTAGAAACCAGGCTGAAAGGAGTAATTCCAAGTACTCCCCAAATCCTCTAATAAAGAAATTGCTGCAGTTTTCAGAAWGACTAAATGAATGATCAGGGATTTTCTGAGAAATAGTTCACTCTGAAAGCCTTTCACTATTAAACAAAAAAAAATCGAGGAAAGCCTACTTAGTTTCTTTGAATCAGTAGTACAGACTGCTTTTATCTGGTTTTGCATTCCACATAAGGAGTAAGTAAACTCATAGGAAAACTTGCTGCAGTGTACTCAAAGGTGATGACAGGCAAAGAAAAGTAAAGTTTCTCCCTGGCTGTATTTGAATTTTGTAGTAGCATGGGGTYTGTCTTCATATTCCTTTATGAACTCATCTGATTTACTTTGTACTACATCAAGGGGAGACTCTTGACTACTGACAACACCTGTAGATCCAAGTGAGGATTTAATCCTTAATGAACATGACTGAAGCATTACAACACACAACACCAATAAATCAAAAGTGGAACAAGAGTCTGCAAGCATTATAATGAACAGCACGTAATATTTCTCTGATATGTGCTTGACATGGGAAACTCTCATCTATTTCCACTAGGGGAGGAAAGTGTGCTGCCTCTTCTGACCCAGGAGTCTAACTCCAAATCCCGGAGAGGCATATTAAGAAGAGCTGTCTTTTCTGAAGACCAGAGGAAAGCTTTGGAGAAAATGTTTCAGAAGCAGAAGTATATCAGTAAAACAGACAGGAAGAAACTGGCCCTTAACCTGGGTCTAAAGGAGTCTCAGGTAAGGAATGTCTTTTTGGGGAAAAATATTTAAAATGGTTTTGAAGGAGGAAAATTGCACAATACAGGGGGCAGCCCTGAGCTCTTTCCCATGCAAAGACCTCAGTAAATCAATGACAGTTTAAACCAGGGAATACTTGAACAGTTTCCTGGTTTATTCCTGTGTGTATACATTCAAAAGTTGATTGCTCCATTTTCACATGAAGAAACATGACCTCTACATTTCATTTCCATCTCCCATTTTTTTCTTCTGTTTGAGCCCCCTTGGAAGCTTTGGGATAGGGAACTATGCTCTATCCCACTRCTCGAAAAACAGTCATCTAGGCAGGAAAAAACAGCATAGATCCTTCCTGCATTGTGCTGACAATCCTTTGTGCTCACACATGAACAGCCAGGGAGAAGGCAGTCAACAACACTTCCTGTGGAAGTATTTTTCCCCGAGAGACAGGCAACCATTCATATGGAAGGACATTTAACTGCACAAGGAAAGAGATTTTCAGAGCTGAGAGATGCCATAGGAAGAAAAACTTTGCAGGGTGGACTTCTAAAATACTCCCGCTTTACTTTAAATTCACATTTCATGTGATTTTTCACGTGAGTCTGAGTTGGTCTACTGCAGGATTTTAGCAGCTGAGGGGCTACTGCCTCCAGTGAGTTATTCTGACTGAACAGCTACATTGGTAGTGGTGCTGATTGGCAGTAGCCCCATCTGTAATCTTGGGGCCTCACCTATCTTCATATAAAAACAAAGGAAAAGTACCTGGCTTGAAGAGCACAAAACCTGAAAGAAACTGGAAAAAAAAAGTTTGTGAGGGCATGTAACAGCAGAAAATGARCATGGTAGTTGCTGACTACCATGGGATTCTGAAGGTGTTGGAGCAGATCAGAGCAGCCCTCTGGATTGCCCCTGAAAAACTAAGAGAGTGACACTACAATTTTGTTTCTTTGCATGCAGCAGGAGTGAGGGTATTTAAGGTGTGTGTGGCAGAAGCTGTCCGTGGTACAGAAAAGCCTGGGAATGGTGATGGGAGCTCTCGTCATATTTATCTTGGAGATTTTCTGAATCTGAAAAGGCTTTTGATCTAACTTTGATCTAACTTTGCAGTTTGAACTGTGTTAGGAGTTTAGATCTGGTGGTCTGTGGTGGTTCCTTGCAACTCGATCACTCTTGACACCATTGCAAGCACTGCAACTATAAACAAAAACAAGCAATGTGGTGTTTCTCAGTTGATGCACAGAACTGTAATCTCTGCAGGCAAACTATTTCGATGGAAATGTGTAATTGCACTCCCCAGTGTGCTGCCTAAGAAATTAACAAAATGTCAAATTCCTAATATTGGTTATTTCCTTGGGTCTGTTTTCTGTGCTCATGTTGTTCAAGAGAGCTTGGAGTGTGTAAAAATAATGTAACAATAAATGACAACTACTACTACAAGAATATGATTTCATGATAGGGATATACAAGATATATTTGTCTCCTTGTTTATTCTCCTCATGAAAGGAAGAGCAGCTGCTGTGAAGGTTACCTCTTCCATTTTTTGACCAGAGGCACTGGAATAACAGTACCTGTCATAAAACCAGTGATACCCAAACCTTTGAAAGCATAGCCCTTTTGTCTTTCTATCAAGTATCTGAAAACTAGATCTAAATGCAAATGTTTAAGGGAAAATAGAACACAATGTGAATAATTTGATTGATCACCCTCACGTTTCTTTTTATATCAAACCAGTTCCTGGGTGTATATTCCCCCAAGCTTTCCCCAGCATTTCATAAATGCCTTTGAATGCTTGTGTTTAAGAGTTGAAATTCAACGTTTTTGAAAAGTTGGTTTTATCTCCAARTCCCATGGATTCTTAGTAACTCCTGGGAAGCTGTAGTCAGACAGACAAAATGTGTTTAAATCCTCAATCCCATGTCCTGTATCACAATCCACTTTTTGAAGCTATATGGCCAAGCTAATTTTAGCTGTTTGTCAAAGGGACAGTCATGCTTCTTACAGCCTCTGTTTAATTGAAGCTTTTATACCACCAGTAATATCACTTAGTTTTATTAATGATGATGTTAATTTTCTCTGGGAATTATTTTCTGTCTAGAAGGATATTGGTATAAGAAACTCTTCTATCCCTAGCTACTGGGCTGTCCATTTTCCAGTCTATGCCAAATAATCACTTGTTGTTGGTGGTAAAAGTCAAGGAGAATATTTGGTTCACGTGTAGTAAATAATGATGGGAAAATCCTCAGACAGTGTCAGTCAGCTGGCTTCACTGGATCTCTTCTGTAACAACAAATAAGGAAGGAACGTGAAACTTAAGAGGATGGAAAGGAAAAACACTTGTTAGGGCAAAGTTGTTTAAAGCAAACAGTGATAATGAACTCTCATTGACTTGCAAACAGGTGAAAATTTGGTTTCAGAATCGAAGGATGAAATGGCGAAACTCCAAAGAAAAGGAAGTGCTTTCTAACAGGTGCCTCCAAGAAGAAGGTCTTCAGGAGAACTACCTCTCACGATCCACCATGAATTTTACCTCCCCATGCCCGTCTGTGTGGGAAGTGTCTGAAAAGCAGGCAAGTCCAAGGTGGAGAGAGACTTCTCCAGGAAATTCGGAAAGACTGACCAGTACCCAACCACCTCCTAGAGCAAATTCATCACAGAGCCCACTGTATTTGTATCCTGACCAAGACAATGCAAACAAGGCATCATCAAGTGCAAGGGAGTAGGGGCAGTTTGTAAATGGAGTGGGAGARCGCAGGCTTCAGATGAGCAGTCTTTTAAAATTAACAATATTTGATTGTAAAGCTAACTAGTTTGTGCTTCAAAAATATGCTAAAATCTAACACCATTAAAATTGCAAACAGCTAATGACTTAAGAAGTATTCTTCAATTCTCAGTCTTTTCTTGTGTCTTTTCCAGTCTTGTACTGACCTTAAAAGTAAAATAGGAACTGATGGAAAGTAAAATTAAGTGAAGACCATGAAGCTGAATTTGTGCTCTGATTTATCACATCTGCGTGGTGTGATGCTCATTAAAAACACACTAATAGAGAATCACTTTGATCTTATATCTGTCTGTAGTCAGACAAATTCCTTTTTTTATGCAGAGGGTAAGAAGCACTCTGTTTATTCAATACAGTGGTTTTGGGTTCTTTTTGAAATTCATGGAATAACACATAAGCGTTTTTGGTTTGTTTTCTGTGTCTGTCCCCATCTATGTCAGTATTCGATTAGCCTTAAATAGTATGATCCCAGATCAGCTGATAGCTGTGGTAAAGTATGCAATATTAAAGGGCAACCAACATACTCTATCAAATATTCCATGTTTAAGTAACTTTGATGAGGGTATGAATGCGGAAATACAGTTCACTCACTTGTCTTTTCTCCCATGGATGAATCTTTCAGCATTCTTAACTCCGAATTTCAGTGTCTTTTGTTGGGCTGCATGTGGAATCTTTYGTATTTCAAAACTACAATGACAGTATGCAGAACTGTAACCAAAATGCATTTCGCAACAGACCCATAACTGGAATAATTGCTACTGCAGCCATTTCAGAAAAGTACATATGGAGATGGGCATAGCATAGTAGTCTTATTCCTGACTTAGTCCTTTTTAAGCTGGTGCCAGTAAGGACACATGGGACTGTATCAAAGGCATGGGACTGTATCAAAGGCAGGACAGTATTCTGTGTAATACAAGTAGTCTCAAATTATATTATTAAAGCTACTTAAAATTATTTACTTGCTTAATCAAATTTAAAGAGCTCAGTCTGTGAATTTAAGTGTATCTTTCTTTGTCTTATTTGCAAATCTTTATAGCTTAAAATGGGAGCATAATATTGGTTTTCTTTTTTGTACATTTATGGATGCCTTTGTTAAGAAGAAAGGCTAAAGATATTTTATTTTACAGGCAAAACCTTTTGGAGAACATTATGGTTTTATAGGGACTATTTGCTTTCTGGCATTCATATATTTTATAGGCATAAGATTAYGCTAATCTAGTCCAGCTCTTCTCATCATACAGGCCTTGAATGTTTCTGATTATACTTGGCTTGATCTCCAAATCTTTTGAACTGTATTGTACATCTTTGAAAAAGCCATACAGTTGTTGTGGAGTAAATTGTTATTTAGTGTTTTACCTTATAAYAGAGGATCTGCTATTCTGCTTGTTACATTGTGTTATCTGGGAGGTGATATATTTGCAGCTTAAAAACTTGAGATTGCAATGATGATGCTTGTATCATAAAATTTATGCCTGATCAGGTGAGTTTTGTATCTTGCCTTGTGCACGTCCTACCTTTTCAGTGGCCAGCTATGCAGTCCTAGTTTTGCATTATGTGGCATTCCTTGCATGTTATTTCCTATGCTTGATTTAAAGCAAAAAAGAAATTACAGAAAAATTAAGGAGTTATATCTTCCTGTATTTACAGACCTTCATAAGTGTAAACTGCCTGACTACCTACCCTCAGAAAGCCCTTGAACACGTGTTAAATACTGTTGAGTAATATGAGGAGTTTATTCCTGTTTTGAAATGGAAATCCCAGAACCAACTCAGATTTGGCCTACAATCTTCACGGGGACAGACAGATTGTGTACACATGGGGATGAATTTGCTGTTGAAGTCAGAGTCCTTCCCTGTTTGGCCAGCTACTGCTTGAAAGACCAGCAGGGGTTAATAGCCCACATAATTGTGAAATGACATTGCAGGTATTTCCAAATTAGCATCAAATCATCAAGTGGTGGTATATGTGTATACATAGATTCATCAGTGCTTCCTATTTTGGAGGAAATCTGTATGATGGGGGTGATGGGGTTTTTTTAATTCTCACCTTTAATGGAAAGGGAGTCTTCCCAGCTGCATATGTTCTTTTACTGCAAGTCAATGAAGCATCAGTGTTAGAAGCAACACTTTTGGAGAGGGGAGCTGCAACTGAGAGTGCTCCCTGGGAAATTCTTTCATTTGATGGTGTTGCAAGCGCAAAATGTGAACTGTCAAAACTGTGAGTTRATGTGCTGAACAGAATACGTCTGAAGGCTGTCTCAGGGAGGCAAAGATCAAGCAAATCTCATGCAGAATTGGTTTCACAGTTGTAATATTACAGGTGTTTTAAATTCAAMAAGTTCTGTTTTCACTGTAGCCTGTTAAACCAGTTCAAGGTCCTCCAAATCTCTTAACACCTATCAGTATTCTTCCACACTTAGAATTAAGTTTCAATATGCCAGATAAAACATTCTTTACCTGAAAATGCTGATCAAGCTTTCTTTAAAACCCCAGAAGTATCTTGAGTWATATCTAAAATAATCTGATTCAATTAGGATGTAGGCCCATGACACATACAACCTTGGTTCCTCTCATTTTGTGCTATTTAAAGGAGACRGCCTTTTCACTTTGGGCCATGCTGTGAAAACTTGGTAAATGAGGAATAGAACCCAGTACAAATACAAGAATAAATTTACAGTGCCAGTTTTTCTTCRTGAAGGATGAAGTACTGTTTGGTTTATTCAAATAATGTATGCATACTAGTTTTAGAAAGAACAAAGAGAGCACAAGTRTGCAAAATGCCCAGCAGATACTTGAACTGCTTTGTAACAGACACAGCACAGAGGTAAAAGATGTAGAGTGCAGCTGGTATCAGGGAGAGACATGATAGGTACTAGTGACACCTAGGTTAAATCCAGCAGCATGCTACTTGGACTTCAAAGATGTGACCTGGTGAATGATCTTGCACCATGGTTCTAGAGTATCTGAGATATTTTCTATATGTAGCATTTTGAGACTAGTTACAGGCTGTGGAGTATTATGAATGACATTTATTGGGWTCCTGGGACTGGGGGCAGTTTGGGTACCTCAAATTGCAAACCRCAGTTAAAAAACTCATCTCTTTAGAGGCCACAAACAAAGCAGACACTTATACTCACTGGGCACCTCTCTGTTCTGGCAACTTATCAATGCTAATGTAATACAGAATACAACAAGGAAAGGGAGAAAGGGCTGAGACTCAGTACTCGCTTTGTAAACCGAGSTGCAGACTTCCATGCTCTCAGGCTGTTCTACTGACACAGGGATCTCACATCCAACTCGGCAGCCTCAGGAACAGGAAAGGCTTTTCTCATCCTCCAGGTGGGTCTGAATGCGAGTCTTGAGAGTATTGTGGTTAAAATTCAGAAGAGGAGCTTCCCTGATAMCTAAGAAGAGGGTGCGGATTTCCTTCTAGGCCTGGCTCTTGGACTTTTAAATGTATCATGATGCAGGTTTTTGCAGTCTGTATCAGGTACAGCCACAGTCATGTTTTACTGCATGTGAATGACTGTGATATTCTGAATGTGAGGCCAGCTAGCTCCTCCATGGATCTCATATAACATTGTTAAAAGCTGGATTTGCTGACCACAGCTGTGTCAGCACTTAAACTTCGGTTTTACTGATTTACAGTATGAAATGATTTTCTGAAAGYTATCTTGTTATTGATCCTTTGCCAAAGAGGAAATTGTTATTAAGATCTGCTAAGGAGAACAGGGCTTCTTTAAGGCACAAAACTGCATTACTAACCTATGTGTCAGAACAGTAGTACAATGGTCAAATGTCACTCCTGAGCTGCAGTAACACATCGGATTTGTTTTGTCTGCTGTGATTTACTAGTACTGGGTTTTAAATACCAGTTGCCATCACTTTAGCCACACAGCTCTTCTGATGACTGTATGTTCTGCAGTCAAAAGACTGACATAAATTAAGTACATTCATATGCTTCAGCACCCTCTACCAACTAGACTGTTACTGATTTTCACCTACTACAAGGAAAGACAAAGCAATTTCATGATATTTGCTACATATCCAGTGCCTTAAGAAAGGACCAGAGAGGAATTAGGGTCCAATTAGCTTGAGGCTTTGAACCAAGGGGAGACCAAAAAGCCCCTGYGTGTAAAGGTTCACAGTGGACAAAATTTCCATGGACTGTGGAAGTCTTTAAATAACCATGCTTCTAAGCTATGTACCTCATGACTGCTGCATATAAGATATACTGGGGTGGTTAAACCTGGATCTGAGATCTGCTCCCCATGCAGACTTACACTAAAATTCATGGCCAGAAAAGGGCAATTCCTTGTTTTTATATGGGTTGTAATTCTGAGCAATGAAGATGGGCATGGTGGAAGGTAACATCTCTATGTTGCTTGCTCAAGCACGCAGCAATACCAGTGCTTGCTCAAGCACGCAGCAATACCACTTTTTATAAGCATCCAACCCTTGAGGACTCTGTCGGTTTTTCCAAGTAATTTTTAATTACAGGCAAATATTAGAATGTACTAGGAGGTAGCTGAACATACATATATATTGTACAAAGAAGACTCTTTCAGTTTGCTTCTGTTTTGCTATCGTGGTTTTAGATAAGAGCAAAACCATGAGTGGCATTAGCCACTTCTTCTACCATGCAAATATCAGCACATACAAGATTCAGCTTAAATTCAAGATACACTGTCAAAACCATTTAGCACATTACAAAAGGAACAACATGAATTTTCAGTCACTGGGAGTGTCTCTGTCCTATCCTTCATCATTCTGAAAAAAATGGAAACATTATGATTAGGAAATCTCTAATGTGTAAAAGTCAGTTCTAATAATTGAAAAAAATAATTGGACTGTACTAAAATGTTGATATTCTGAGATTATCCTGTAGTGTTTCATGGAATAAGGTCTGAAGGACAATGGAGATATTTTTMATTCTTAAATTTATTTGGTTGACAAGAAAATTCAATGGAAACAGATTGTTTCACAAATGGAAATTACACTGCGACTTACCTGTGGCATTCAATGTTACAGTTTGTTGTGCATGAAGCCAGTGTTAACTGGAAAGTAATCCTGATTTTCTGATTTTCTGATTTTCTGTTAATTTACGGAATTTTCTCCTAAATTAATATTCTGATATACAAGTGTTGAATTCTCAAACTCCAAAGCATTTGATAGTAACACATGATTATCACATTCTCCTAACTAGTTACACACTGTCTTGGAGGAAATCATGCAGGAGATGAAGTATTCGCCTGTGAGAAAAGCAGCCATCACTGGTATTTCTGTGAGGCATCTATGGCCATAGAGAAAAACATGCCCTTTTCAGCCCAGTGCTTGTTTCCTCAATCGCAAGAGGAAGCAAGGCAGTGCTAACAATATAGGAATGCTTTTGTTTTACCAACATGCCTCACTTCAGCCAAAGGCAAAACTGAAATACAGCACTAATGAGGATGAATGACTGGATAATACTTCGGTGCACTGTTGTTCCTTGTGTGCCACCCGCTATCTCATTTTCTCTGTTTTCACATTTCTGTACAGCAAAACGTTCCCAGGGTTTAGCACTTTGGCGGAGATGAGAGTTATTTATGTGACCTACTCCCTTTGCGACGTTTTCCACCTGACCCTCAGTTTCTCCCCTTGGGAGGTCCTGCCAGCTGCGGGTACCGCTGATTTCTGAGTCACCTTGCAATTCGCTTGCAATTACTTGCCACCAAGCAGGGCCGTGGGGGCCACGGCCACCTCCCATGGGAGCACGGCCACCTTCGACCCTGTGGCAGCGCGGGGCGCAGCGCGTCAGCCCCGTCCGCTGTGCSCCGGGGAGGGGGACGGGACACAGCCAGTCCGGGAGGGAGTTYCTGCCGTCAGCGACCCTTCCTGTGTCTGTCACCTCTCGCCTCGGACGGCAGAGTGGCTGTCGTATCTTWGCCGGTACTTGGTGACATTATCCTGGCACCGCTTGTCTCCTCAATGAAGGCGCGGTTGCCGCACTGCAGCGTTTGGTAGCCAGCAGTGACCCCCCGGKGGCATGGGAGGCACCCAACACCAGCGGCTGCTGTACACCGGTCTACGGCTACACCAGGTGGCCGCATTTGTGCTACAGCTCTTAATTGCTGCTACATCTTCTGTGATGATGGATGCAGGCAGTGCGAGCATCCCGCTCTGTTTCTGTCCGTTCACTCAGAAGCGCCTTCCTTTGCTGTCTTTGGAGCTGTGTTTTGTTTCCAGAATTTGCTTAAAACTTGCCCATGAATGCTGCTGTTTCATTATGTTTTTGTGGTATCTTTCTGCTTAAGGAGCTGCAGCTAGTAACTTCTTCAGGGCAAGCACGATGTAACCCATTGCCTTTCTGCTATACCTGKCACAATCCAGATGTGGATTGTGAATACCCACAGCTTGTGGCTGCAAAAGTACTTTGGCCGTCTACCAGACAGTAGATACTGGCAGTTATGGCAACATAACTGAAAATGTTTCTCTGGTTTTCTTTGACATCTTCCCTTTGCAGGTTTCTCAAGCCTAAATTCAGTATAATTATTAAATAATTAGCAGCATCTTACTCCCCACTCTTGGCTGTCTGAGCTCCTGCTACTGTCAGCAACCATCMAGATCATGGAAGGCCAGAAAAGAGCATTCAGTGATAAAATAGTCAAGAATATTAAAGATAAATACATGTTGATTATAACTGCTTGTTGAAACGGCTCAGTTAGGCTCTGAATGCAAAGAAGTTTTGTTCTATGCACAGCCAGCAGCACCACTCTGCTAGGAAAATGTGATTTCCATAAAATATCTGACAGCTTTCCTATTTTTATTTGCTATGAAGCTTGTCATCATTATTGTAAAACCCAGGTGTCAGCATGTGGAAKGGGAAAGAGACTTACTGCTGCACAATGCTTAGCCCTTGGACTGAAATGCTATTTGGACCAGAATTCTTACTTACTTTTCACAGAGAATCTTTTTCTTTAGGAATTTCTACTGAAATCAGTGAAGTTGTTACAAATATAAAAGAGCATTCAAAATTACTAAAAACACTAGATCTTATGGGACACATATGAAAGCCCTCAGAAATCAKTAAGAAGTATGACATGAACATAAAAGTCTGCCATAGGCTCTGCAGTTAAATGAACTGTTCAACATCAAAGCCACTCTTCATTGTTACACAATATTCTGCAGGTACGTATATATGTAGAAATGGGGGAAAATTTTTCTTTTTGTAAAAATATACTTTATTTATAATATATAGATGTACCAAAGCTTAACAAATTGAATCTTACTTTCAACTATTTTGAAACTATGTTTCACCTTCTGTAAGGCTTTCCATAGGGTCTCACTTGACGCCCTTATCTCCAGATTGGAGAGACACGGGTTTAAATGCTGGACTATTTGGTGGTTAAGAAATTGGCTGGTTGGATGCAGCCAGAGAACTGTGGGCAGTGGCTCTATGGTGGAGGCCAGTTACAAGTGGTGTCCCTCAAGACTCTAGGGACTGGTGGTCTTCAGTATCTTCATCTGTGACACAGACAGTGGCATGGAGTGCACCCTCAGCAAGTTTGCAGCTACAAAGCTAAGCAATGCAGCTGACACAAGAGAAGGAGGGGATGCCATCCAGGGGAACCTGGACGAGCTTGAAAATTGGGCTCGCAAGAACCTCATGAAGACAGTCTGAGAGAGTTGGCATTGTTTATCCTGTAGAAGAAAAGGCTCCAGAGAAATGTCATTGCAGCCTTACAGGACTTTAAGTTGGCTCATGGAAATAGGGAGAGTGGCTTTATACATGGGCAAAGAGTGATGGGATAAGGTGGAATGGTTTGAAACTAAAATAGGAGAGATTTAGATTAGATGTTAGGAAGAAGCTTTTTATTCAAGAGGGTGATGAKGCACTGGAATACATTGCCCAGAGAAGTTGTGGCCTATCCCTGGAAGTGTTCAAGGCCATCCTAGTGAATGGCATCCCTGCCAATGGTGGAGTGGGAGTTAGAACTCAATAGTCATTAAGATCCCTTTCAACCCAAGCCTTTCTATAATTCTGTGTATATATCTAAACTGTGTGAATCATAATATAGCCATATATAATATAGTCTATCACAGCGTAATGTGCAAGAACATTTATTTATCTACTGCTAGAATACTCCTTTTTATCTGGTGCATTAACCAACATACACACATGATGCTTTATTTAGTATTTAATCAGCATTGGTCATCTGTGTCAACTGCAATTTCAAAACCTCTTTCCTATTAAAATTACCATAAAAGTGATAATTTAGAAGTTCTATTTTTAAAATCTTTATAAGCAACATACTGAAGACTACTTGTCAAGAGATTACAATTTAGCAAAYATTTTCTGGCATAATCCTACATTTGAGAATTTTTAAGTAGCTTTGTACTTTATTGGAATCTCTCCTAAAACAGTGAATAAAGTCAGAGTCACTCATCATGTTTGCTTCATTACTAATTGATAAACCAGCGCCTTCAGATGATGCCATTCCATTTAATGTATTGCTGATAATCCCCATTGACTGCATCTATATTGAAAAGAGGAAAAAAGAGAACTTGTAACTATGCATACAACAAATCCTGAAAAACTGAAGAAGTCAACACAGATGTCACTATGTTGGGCTGTCCTATTCCAGATCTTTCACATATTTATTGAAGATACATGTAAAGGTCCTTATATAGAATAACATTGACTTATTATCCTTCTGGTATCTCTATAACTTTTAGACTAGACTGAAATTATTTGATATACGAGTATGAACACTATGGGTTTAAGTAGAGGAACCCCTGTTTGGTGATTCTTATTTCCTCTTGAAGTATTATAGCAAATCAGTCTTGAGATTTTTTTTTAGCCACTTACTTTAATGCTTTGAGTGAAAGGAAGCTTCTAACACAAGTATCTACCAGTGCTGTTTAATCTGGTGAATTCTGCAGACTGTGAAGCTCACCTCTAAGAGCAGGTGCTTTACAACAGGAGCAAGTTTAGAATTTTTCTGTCTTAATGGAAAAACATACATGCAAAATATGGAATGCGTTATTTTTTGTAATTGTATTTCTAGCCTGTAGTATATCCATAGTACTGAGAAGTCAATACTTCAAAGCTTTCCCTCTTAGTAATACCTTCAAAGGTGCTTTAGAAAAAAATAAAGCAGGTAAATATATCAAAAGTGTGTAGCTAATTTAGAGTTTGCTTCAGCTACAGAATGAAGGAAAGGTCAAGCTTTAAGGTTGAATACTTCTGAATTTTAAGGACTTTTTAACCCAAAACCATGCCCACATTTGGATGATGGAGTTTCCAGTTGTAACTCTGAGTCACCTTAACCAGGGCTGCATTTTAGAGCAGGGTACAATTTGGCCTATTCTAGTGATGAGCTACTTGTAATCCCCACCTGTGTTCACAAAGTTGAAAGGTGACCTACTAGTGTAAGATACTAGTTTACTAATCTTTTTTTTTAGTGAAACAGACATGTTGACTAGAGTGGCCATTTAAGAGAATGGCACACAGATTTCATTTGTTCAGCAATAGCAACAGTTAATTTTATATATAAATTAAAAAAAAAAAAAAAAAAAAAAAAAAAAAAAAAAAAAAAAGCGAAGATCAGGACTTCTAACTAGTAATGAGAAGATAGAAACGGAAATAACAAAAAAATTATTCCAGTGATTTGTATATGATCTGCCATAGTTTGGAATGGAACTTTGAAGTTTTTTTGTGACTGACATCAGACTTAAGTGATGCCACTGTTGTCTTGAAGACAACAAGCATAAAATTATAGCCTTATAATTTTATAGCCTTGTAATTTTATCCCAGCATAAAATTATAGCCTTAGGAAGAAGCTCTTTGCATCAGACAACAGTGATACTTGAATTACTTAGAATGTAAATCCAAATAAAACTTAACACAATTGTTAAGCATTTATCATAGCCTACCCACATCTTYTTTACTGCCCTAGAAAACTCAACTCATTACTGGCTCATATATTAAGCTGCAAAATGCTCTAGTTTTGTACTTGTGTGTGTCTTTCATATATTTCATATTAATAAAATACTGCCTTACAGATATGGACTCCTGTAAATGTGATCTACATATCTGCCAATCTGTAAACTAAGTCACACCCTTTGACTGAAGGATGTATCTGTAATAAAGTCCAGCAGTCTGCTGAATATGAGCAACCAAGGCCAAGTGGGAGCAGACATTGCCCCCTCCTCAAAGTCACCCATGCCACATCACTGGTATAAATAAAAGCTACATCAAAAATCTTACCTTTTCTGTTACTTTCTCAACTCCAGTCTTCAGCTCATGTACCATATTGCTGATTTGCTTCGCTTTGCTAAGGCTGTCATCAGGTAGCTCTTGATGATGCTCAATATACTGGTTAAAGTGGGAAAGTGGTTCTTTCCAGGCTTGCAAAAGTTTCAGTATCAGGTGAGTTAGTTCTTCTCTCTTATAAATTAAAATAGTAGAGAATGTCTCTATTACTTTGCAGCAGATCATATGAATACTCTTAGCCTCATCATGAAATCTCCATGGGATTAAGATTCACATCTACAATTCAGTACTTAGATGCCACTCTGTCTCTGGTTATTTATATATATGTAATAATACCCAAAAGTTATTTTGTTTTGTTTTCAGCTAATAGGAGCTGATACGAGCAGGGCTTCATCTCCCATTGCCCTTCTAGGGGGCCTTATAGAAGGACATCTTGGGGAATGCTCCTCTCTCCATCACAACCAAAAACCAAAACATTAACATTTGTCTTTGTCTCCTAGAGACAAAAGTTTCTCCCACTGGTGTATCGCCAGCTTCACAATTTGTTTTTTTCTCTGTGTGAACAAACAGTTCCTACTCTTCTCTGAACTAATAATGATTTTTTTTTCTTTGCCATCACAACTGTGATGTAAACCAATTTGCTGTTCTTTTCTCCTTGCCTAACTACCGATTCAGAGATAATTACTTTCCTGATTACTTTTTGTAGTTTGCAGTGATACTGATTAATTTAACTTCTCTGCCACACACACAAGTTTCTAAGTTTCTGTTCCACAGAGTTTGCCACAACAAAATTAGAGGATGTCTGTCAGTCATTCTGACAGAGTACTATTGCAATATCCTTATTATAGCAAGTATATATTATCCAAGCATAGGAAACCACGTGCGGATTTAAAATCCAATAATCTTATGATTCATATGCAGTATGTCTGTGATGTGCACCTGTTTGGGGTCAAAACTTARCAACTTCTTCCAACCAGATTGTTGATGCAGCTCCGGATGCATAAAAACCTCTGCCTATTTCCAGCCCGACTGGAGTGAGGGACTATCACAGCATGATGAATGAGTCATTTCGGGGCTCTGACACGACGGTAGGTATTTTTCCCTTTCTCCATGGCGGGGAGAAAGAAGGCGATGTGACCCGCGGAGTCCCCTTCCAGCCTCGCAAGGCCCGCGGTACTCCCTCGTGCCCTGTCTCTGCCCGCCGTCGCCGCCGCTGCCCCTTACCGGGATTTTTTGGGCGTATTCTTTGCCGTTGGGAGTCAGCATCCCCGACGTGTGGCACTTCCGACCCGGCTTTCCCAGCTCGTTGTCACGGGGCGGAAAGTGTTTTTCCTACGGGGGAAGAACATCTAAACATACACSGAGAGCACAGCCACCACCCTCCATCGCCCACCTTTTCCCTTTGCCGCCCGTCCGCAGCCGCTCCCGGGGCGGCGCAACCCCGCTCCGCGGCGGCGGGACCGGCCCGGCACTCACCAGCTCGGCAYAGAGCGCCGTGGAGAGGCTGTGGATCCTGCCCGAGTGCCGGATCACCCGGTCGAAGAGATCGACCACGGTCAGGTGGTGGCAGCCGGCGTCCCCCGGAGCGCAGAGCAGCAGGCACAGCAGCGCCAGCGCCGCAGCCGCCCCTGCGGAGAGAGCGGCGGCGTCGGAGCGCGGAGTGTCGGGGTGCGCTCCCCGCCCGGCCCGGCCCCGCCGCCCGCCGCCCTCACCTGCTCGCCCCGCCGCCCGGGCCAGGGCTATGGCCATGGTGCTGCGGAGCTGGCGCCCGGCGCGGAGCGGCTGCGATCGGCCGGCGATGCCCCCATCTCCTATTTATGCCGGGATCTCCCGGTCGTGACGGGTCTCTCCCCTGACGTGCGCAGCCCGCGGCCACCGTGAGCCAGCCCGCCCGGAGCGGGGCTCACGGCTTGGCGGGCGGTCGGGAGTGTCCCTCGCACCGACGGGGCCGTCTGCCCTCGGCAGCCCACGGGACCCGACGGAAATGGCTCTCCCGGGCTCATCGGTGCGGCTGCTCCCCAGCCCCGCAGCCGYCCGTCCRTGGGCAGAGCGGGGGCGGCGCTGGTCCCCCACACAAGTGGCGTGGTCAGATCCGTCCCTGCGCGCCCACGGCCTTCGGAGGGGGCAAGGGTGGGGGAAAGGACAGCGGGYAAATAAACGCTCATGTCCGTGGTAAAAGGGTTTATAAAATGGGCAATGGGCAAAATGAGGGGTAGGAGAGAAACGTGGTCTGATGACATTCTTCTCTTAGCCAGCTCTTCAAATCACACTGTTAAGATCAGATCTGCTTTTCCAGCTCCACTGCAGGTGATCAAAGGTAAGACTGTTGAAGATGTAATAGCTGGTGACTGCATGTTTGGTGGTGCAAATGTACCTGAAGATGGTTGGTCCCATGTGCCTGAATGTTCAGGGAGTAGCACAGGAAAGGCTTTACAGCAGGATCCCTGAAGGGTTCTGAGTCCTGTGGGCCTGGTTGTTGTCTATTTTAGGGCATGAGGTCCTGAGCAACCCTCAGGACATGTAACAAAAGTTGAGATGCTGGTCGTGAGGAAAATTAGTTGCCTCTGCCCTTCTTACAGGGGTTTTTCACTGCCAAGGGAGAAGTCTGCTTGGAAATGAGGATACACGTGACATGAAATTGTTATMTTTCCTCCCCAGCCATTACGCTAGAGTATGTATCTGGTCTCTAGCCCCTGAATCCTGATTTCATTTATGGAAAATGGAGGGAATATATATGTCTGCCTGAATGGCTAAGATTATCCCCCTCCCCATCATTTAAGGGCAGCTGGGTGACTAGAACTCATTCTGGAGCTAGAATACATGAGTTTGACCAGCTCTTGGCCAAGGTGAAGTGGCCTACATCATCAAGGTGAAATGGACCTACATCCCCTACACTCTGTGCGAATACTAAAAAAAATGGTAGAAATCAAGTAGAGGTAGCTCCTTCTCCAGCCACATCTTAAAAGTGATTGTCTGCCACTGCTTCTGCATGAAGTCAAGATGCATKTACCTTTTGAAAGGTTTGATTCACATTTTGAAAGGTTGATAGCACAATGGGTCTCTAAGATACTTTTAACACCTCATTTTTTAGTATTTCTTAAATTAATTTTAAAAACAGTTTATTAAGATGTGCCTAATGATCTACACAATCCAGCACTTCTCCTTCTCTTACCTCTGTAGYGTCTCTAATGAATAAAACAATGCAGTTAATTTTAGTGGTTTGTGCTGCTGAGCCAGTTCTTAATGTGGACCATGCAGTCAGCTTTGGCAAYAGCTCTGAGCTCTTTGGTAGCTGATAAAATACTTAGTCGCTGGTGGTCCAGYTGAAGGCTTGGACTATTAGTTAGTATTAATTCTAATGATTACCASAAAACAAGCAATCATGCATATGACAGGATCTGAAAACCATTGGGAGTGTGCATATGGGCAGCACATGGATCARTGGCTTATTTTTATTTGCCAATAGCTGTTTTCTTTTGGTTTTCATGTGTCTTGGAGAAATCTTCATGTAGGCAAATTTAATATTAAAAAGGTTCCTTAGAGTATTAAGACAATTTTTAAGTTTTGAAGGAACAATGAACTTTCATTGTGGAAAATGTAAATTACTTGAACAGAAACTCTGCTTCTTCTTGCTCAAACCTGCCAATGATTTATAGTGCAAGATCAACTGGATTTCATTATGTATTCAAGAATCACTCCTAAATTTACATCATGAGGGAGTAAAAGCTGTAATGAAAAAGTTTGTTTCAACCAAATACTGTCCACTATCAATTTGACCTCCTATAACATAACAACAGGCACATTTTACAGCTCAAGAAGGGACAGAGCACACACAGCTGCTCTGAAAGTTGATAATATGAGCTCTTGAATAAAAAGGTATGAAAATTATGTAACCTGCATCTTAAAAGGGAAATGAAAAAAGATTTGGCTACCCACTAAAGGAGTCAACCACTTTCTGAAGGCTGGATCTCATATCAATGTTTTTTTTTKAGTTCTGTAAACAGAATGACTTCATGTGGAAGTGTTTGACTTTTCATACTTCTCTGCTCTTCTCTCCCTTCTCTGTGGAAACAGCTGTGTCCAATTCATGTCTCCCACCCGGCTTTTTTATAGTAATCACTAAACATGCTGATTTTGTCTTGATTTGTGTTTCCTTTGATTGCTGCATTCTTGAGAATCCAAAGACATAGACAATGCAAGGTAAATAAGAACACAGTATTTTTCATTAGATCTATTGATATGGCTGGAAAAATGGAAACAATGTTTTTGAGCAATGTGAGCTTTTTCAGAGTAAACCTGGAAAACTATCTGCTTGACCAACTATCCATTTTTAAAAAATGAAGTGTTTGCAAACCTCATCTTTCTCTGGGTTTTATATTTCTTGCCTTTGTATATTTCTTCTTCTTCCTCTCGCTCTTCACAGTATAAACATTATTTAGTCTCCTTGCTCTAAAGCAACTTGTTCTTACTCCAGCAGTCACTCTGGGCAAGATCCTTCCCCATCCTCCATTTCGCTAAATCACTCACTGAGAAGTTGCTTCCCTTCACTAATTCACCAGTCTCTGGTGGTCCACGGTTTTCCCTGTTGATTGCCAGGGCAGCTCAGAGGTATGAGCACAGGCTGAGCTAGGGCAGAGAAATCTCATTTTCTGTTTGCAAAAGTAGTCCAGGAACTGAAGTAGCATGTGCTTGACACATAAAATGGAGCAGCTGMGCTGTTTCTTATTATTCTCTTCTGCTGGACAGCCTCTTACGGATGTTGCATTTTTGCTTCCTTTGGGGCTACAGAGATGTCTGTTATTTGTGACTGTGATTGTAGCACACAAGTAAAGAAAAACATGTTTTTGAAACAGCTGATCTATCCTACCCTCTGGAGAAGATTAATTCCTTATCTGGTGTGCTGACTACTCATGAGAATAAACTCCCGTGCTATTTTAATCAAGACCTGTACAYACATAAAGATTAAGTAAAACTGAAGATACAGACTGCGTTATAAATTCAGGTCTTTAAGTTCTGGAGCCCTTCATTCCACATCCTGCTAAAGAGGTAATATCAATTGTGTAAGGATAGATTGATGTTTATGTGGAGTGCCTGAGCAAAATATTGCCATGCTAAACAGCTATTGCTGTAAATTGATTTTCACCATACTAAGCWTCATACAAGTCAAGTGGGAAAATCAGTGTCTTAATATTTTATTTATGATTTTTTTTTTTTAGGATACAGTTTCAATTAATTTTTTTAAGAGGAGAACATTTCTGATCTCATCTTTGTTGGCTTGAGTGGGCTTGYTTATATCTAGTGAATTTAGTTCTGTCTGATAGAAGATTTACTTAATATTGATTTGGAAGGACAGATCTAATCTCAGGAAAAAATATGTTCTATGAAAACTGATCTTCACTGAAACTTGAAAGAGTTATGCACCCTATGAAATCTTAACTTGGAATTATGGACCCTTTTCGACACAAATTCTGGTTTGTGAAATTTAATTMTATCCGATTTATATTATATATTTTATATAAGATTTTGTATATTTCARTTTTGCAACTGGCCTTGAATGTGGCCTGGAGAAACAAACTGGATTTGAGCATGAAAGGTAGAATCTATTATTAAAATATTTAATACTATTTAGACAATGAAACTTTAGGAGAAAATAAGTTCTARGTTTCTGGGATGTTCAATTCCATTGAAGAATGCTCTTACTTATAAATGCAAGATATTTCTAAAATATAAAAATTAAASAACATAAAAATAGATTTAAAAATGAGAAAGGCATGATTGAATCCTACTATTTGTATATTTACAGATGTTGTCTTAACATTRTTGAGAGGAGTGTCATAATTTACCAGCTGCAGTTTTTGTGAAATCCTACAATAGAACTTCATTTTCCTCTAAACCATTATGAAGGAAACCATTCTTTTCAAAAGAAGCTGCACTCTAGCTATAAACGTGCATCATCATCATCCTTCTACTTCTTACAATGTCCATATAGGGTTGTCTATGCAGTGCTCTGATGTGCTTTAATAATACAAAATATTTCAAGCTTAGCTATATGTCTCCTCATATGAAATGTGTCACTGCTGTGCCAACAGGATCAGTAGTAACATAATAAAAGATATGTTAAATTTTAGAGGGGATTGGCTTGTATTTGGAACAGTCTTTTTTTGTAGAGAAAAATAAAATGATGTATTTAACGTTTGTGAGTGCATCAAACAAAAATATATTCTTTAGCTCATGATCAGAAACTGCCTGGAAAAAAATTTCAGGCAAAGTCATTACCTCAGTTCTGAGAATTTTAAGGAAATACAGGTATCTCTGTCACACACAGGTGGCAATTTCAAAGCAATGTCCCAGTGCCCACTCAAATCTCTAACCGGCTTTGACTGACTTTAATAAAGACTGGGTTAGACCATCATGCTGGTGTAGCTCCACTAACTTTGGTGAATTTACTTTTGGTTCACTGATGTCACAAAGATGAGGTTTGGGCCCTGAGTCTGTATTATTGATAAGTGTTCACAGTTGAAAATGAGCTGCAACCCCAGAGGTAAATTCTGTAATACCCATCTGGAAAGAATACATGCTATATCCTCTGTTTAGGAAATCAAATTATTTAGGGCATTTGATGAAGTAGGAAGAAGGCACCAGGACTGTCCACAGAGAGGAAATTATGCTTCATTTAAATTGTAACTTCCCATCTGCCACCATATTGAAGTCATCATTGTAGAACAGAAAGTTGTCAGMGGTTCCAAAGA